AGTTAGAGCCCTTGGATTTGTTTGGAAAAGATTCCAGTAGGCTAATTGAAGGGATTCCTGAAAGCCTATGCCTTAAAGAAATAAAAAAAAACAAAAAAAACCTCACGAGTTCAGCCCACACCTTCTGAAGGGCTTTATCTATGGAAAATATGTGTTTTTTTTGTTTTGTTTTTTGTCAGTGGAAAATGTCATGATGCCATTTCTAACCTTAGCTTGTCTGGGCGGGACCCGGAACGAAATGTGTACACACCAGAAATCAAAGGAAATAAAATAACAATAATAATAATAAAGTTTCATCTGCCTTATGCATATAGACGATCTAAACTTATTTTTCGGATCGTTTGTTCAAAGTGCCAGGTTTTTCTCTAAGTTTGCCATAAGAACGGACATTTGAATTTAAGAAAACAGACGTTATGATATACGAATAAAAAGAGGAATTAACAGACAGAATTCAACTACAAACAGACTAATCAGAAGAATATTTGAATCGCAAAAAGGCCGATGCGTATAGCGGCCGAAACGTCGTGAATATGACACTAGCGATGAGGACAACAGTCCGAATGACGTAAATAGTATATTTATACTATTTACGTCATTACAATTCACTATCTCCGAAATATAGACAAAATTTCAAAAGTCATAAAGGTGCAGGTGAATACATATTCCTATGCGGGTAGATATCTGTCTGCACCCAGTTCATATATTAATTTTCTTCTTTACTAAGTGTTCATCACTGAAGATACTCGAAAAGGAGGGAAAATATAAAATAATATACCAATGTTACTGAAGAAATTTCCTTCGTAACGGAAAGGCTAAATATGTTTGCCGCCCCAAAACAAGAAAGAAGTAAAATAAGAAACAAAAAAAGTAAATATCCTATTTGTTCTGAAAGGCAAAAGATAAATAATTTATAACTGTTTGCAGGAATCTAAACTTGTGAAAGAAACAATGTGCCATCAGCAGCAGCACGATTGCTCTCAAATTAAATTAGAAAACTCCACGAATTAGAAGAGAAAACGATTATTTATAGTTTAGCATTATATACACGCACTTTCTCAACAAATTCATACATTAGGTTGTTACATAAATTCGTTCGATTTTTATAATTAATTTCAGTAATTATTATTTATTAATAGTTCTGATGAATCATACAACAGTGTATTCACTTCATTGTTTACCACCCCTTGCCAACGATCCACTAACTATTTAATGATTCGACGATAGTGATCATTACGTCAAGTCACATTTTAAGCTTTACATCGTTGGAAATATCACTGAAATTGTTAGAAAGCGACCGAAAAAGGTAAGAGTTTGAAGTGGGGGTTAAATCAGAAGACTATGTTGGGTGTGAGAGATCACCCTAACCAAGCCCTTTCTTTCTATCCACAGCCTGGTGTCGAGCAAGTAAACTGGCGGCAAGTGGGTGGGGGGGTTTCGAAAAGCGCTGGTGTTTTTCATGGTAAATGCGTGTAGCACTCATGCTCCGTGTTTCTAGACCTTACCAATTGAGTGAAGATGACGAGGGAGCTTGCCATCTTCTGAGCCAATTCACTAATAGTCTGGCGCGGTTCATCTTTAATCAACGCATGTTGAATTCCTCCTCCTTGAAAGGGGGAATATACCTGTGTCATTTTGTTGGCAATGAAGTCATCTCCGTACACAGAATAAATGTTTCTAACAGCTTTGGTAGCTTATAAACCTTAATGAAAAGCAAAGAGATGTCCACCATGCTCGTTCTTGTCTACTTGGCATTTCATCTGAAAAGGGTGTCTAATCTGAGAGAAAATTTCAGTAACGTTAGACTACAGTTTCACCAGATGACCAGGGTTACTAAGAAGCAAAAAAAAAAAAAAAAAAAAAAACTACAAAATATTTATCTTCGAGATACTTCGCAGGACATAAGAAAAAAACGAACGAATATATGTAAAAGCTAATATATGATTACCACACACACACACACACACATATATATATACACTGCGTGCCAAATTATTATCGAAATAACTTTTTTTATAATATTTCAAAAACCGTCCAATCAATTCACACAAAGGTTTCACACAATGTTGGCAACACTGACCTGCGCAGTCACTGAAATTTTCGTACTGATCTGCGCAATGTAAACAAACTGGCGCCATATTTATTATCAGCACGGTGATTTGAGCGTGCCAAATTATTAGAAAGGTCTAGTAAAATTCCCAGAATTGAGCAAACAAAACGTTTATTAATGTTGCACGTGAATGTTTATGATCAAAAGAAGCTAATAAATAAGATAATCAAACAAATAATAACAGATACAAACAAAGGCACAGTTTTAAACAAATTAATAGTGAATGTACTTTCCCTGTTTTGAAATTACTTGAAGAAGTCGAGAATCCACAGAATTTGTTAATTGTATGATGTTATCTGCGAGATATGTCAAGAATTGCTTCCCACAACTCAGCGTTGCTCCTGAATTGTCGTCCGTTGGCGTACAGTCTTCGCTTCATGATGCTCCAAAGGTTTTCGATTGGGTTCAAATCCGGAGAATTTGCTAGCCACTTCATTTTTCGAGGCCCATCGAAGCCTAACTGTTTCAAATATTCAGTAGTCTTGTGAACAGCATGTGAGGGAGCATTATCTTGCATAAAAACAATGGCCCTTCTGAAGGCAACTCTTTGCCTTTTCATCCACGGTGCAAGATGCTCCTTCACAAACGCTATGTATGCATCAGCAGTCATTTTGACGCCATCTCCATGGGCCCACTAATGTTTTTCCAATAATATCACCCCAGATCATTATGCCTTCACCGCCTTGTTAGCGTCTCAAACGCTGAGGATATTCTGTCCGTTCATTACCCAGCCTTTGCACCATCTATCTGGCCCATCAAGTGTTGCTCGAGTTTTGTCTGTGAACAAAACTTTAGAGAAGTCAATCTTTATATTGTCCTCAGCCCATTTCAATTGATTTTGAATGTGATTTCTCGTCAACGGAGGCTTCGATACAGGTTTGACTGTTGTTGTTATTTCCCCCAGACACCGACACCGAGTACTTTTAGACACAGTAGTATCCCCAATGCGACTGAAAAGATCTTGGCTGGTAAGTCCAGGGTTCTTTGTGGTCCCTCGTTTAAGTCGTGACATGAGACGATGTGAAATAACCCTCGGCTTGCCTTTATCTGCCCTTTTGCGTACTTGTGTAGGGACGGCGGTGAACTTTTTCACTGTTTGATGACACCTCCCTATCATTTTAAAAATTTCTAGGGTAGATTTACCTTTTGAGAGTTCTGAGATGATAGTTTTCTTTTCAGCATTACTTAAACTGCTTTTATGGCCCATCTTTTTACTAGATTCTTACACTTTTCTAATAATTTGGCACGCTCAAATCACTGTGCTGATAACAAATATGGCGCCAGTTTGTTTACATTGCGCAGATCAGTACGAAAATTTCAGTAATTGCGCAGGTCTGTGTTGCCAACATTGTGTGAAACCTTTGTGTGAATTGATTGGATGGTTTTTGAAAAATTATAAAAAAGTTATCTCGATAATAATTTGGCACGCAGTGTATATATGGCATAAAAAATTATGGGAAAAGAGAAAATTTGATTCCAAATAAATTCCATTAAATGTGAGACAAAGCAAAAGAAAAAATTCTCACAACTGCTGCATTCCACTTATTCACTTCTTAGTCTTATCCAATAATTAATTATATATTTTATAGAGTTGGAAACAACAGTACTTTTTTCATTTTATCTCCTGACAGAAAATAAACTCAGAAAATTGTATAACTTTGTGCCCTTGCAATAAAGCATATGTAAAATTATTCATTAGGAAATGAATTCATACTTGTGAATGGGATGAAATATTCTTGTAAAGTAAAAAACAGAGAAAGAAAGAAAAAAGCATTTTTACAGTGATTTTGTACAAAAAAAACTACTAAACTTTACTGTGAAAAAGAAAATGATTACAATAATATTACGTACAATATTTAATTGAAAATAAATTATTTCAAGAATATTAAAATAATATAAAAATAGTGTTTCACTTTTGGTCTTATATTTACGCTTTTGCAAAATTTTACAAAGATAAAATATAATTTTTTTGAATAGCTAGGAAACAACTATTCCGATAGAATTAACATTGCCTGTCTTAACTGAACATTGTCAGTATCGTTTTATACCAATTGATACAAAGTTCAGCGAAGTCATTTTTACATTTTGCTATTTAGAAATCGGGGAAGGCCGGAAACTTCTGTTACTATCTATCTATCTATCTATCTATCTATCTATCTATCTATCTATCTATCTATCTATCTATCTATGTTTATGTGGGGGGTCTGACTGTGCATAAGGGTGTGACTGTGTGTATGTGTGATGCTTTTGCATCGTTGAAGTTTTTGACGTTTGATATTTGTAAAGTTTCATAGATCTCGATGTTCCCAAATTTCTTATTGATAGACACAATAAAACATTTGGTCCTTATGACCTAAGCATAATTGAAATTAATCTTTATTTGAAAGAATATTTGATGTTATTAATTTTCCAATAACTGAACTACGCATTTCCTTCGATTATTTCATTGCTTCAATTTTCATGCATATTAACAACCATAATAATAAAATAGTGCACGAATAATCGATAATAATTTATTTCATCACCCCTTAAAATCACACCATCTTTTATAAATATTTGTTGACGAGTGCGTAAGTATTTTGTATACGCTTGGAAATAATCAGTACAATTCGTAGGCAGTTATAAGTGGTTCTATAAACGCCAAAGTATATGCATCATATTTACTCACTAGACTAAATATTCTCTTATAATAAGTAGATAATATTCACCAGACATATTTCATTTGTAGAATTTTTGTTTAGTTGAAAATATCTTTGTAATTGGATTTATTCTGTATAACTAAGACAGCAATATCTGTAATGACAACATTAAACCCCCAAAAGTGATTATTTTTACTTGCAGCGGTTTATTGTATAAATATTTTTAATATTTTTACATTTGAAAAAGTCGAGAT